AAAAATAAAAAATTTATTTTTTATTATATAATTTAAAAAAATATATTCACAAGTCATTAATGGTATATTTTTTCATATCTCATACGACTGCTTGTAAGTACAGCATAAAAAAAAAAAAAAAATTCTCACAGAACACATTCTAAAAGTAATGATTAATCTTGCATTAGAATATTCGTCGCTATTTTTCTAAGGGCCTTTTTCCCTGACAAGAATCACGTCACATGACATTTGATCGAAAATCAAACAGTGCACAACCAACTGGGAGTTGTGTAAGTGTTCCAATATCTCTGAAGAGAATGGCAGTGGAGTCATCTCCCATCCAATCAATTAAACTGAAAAAGTTTGAATCCCATTTTCCAGAATCTTTAATTCTTCACCTCATCTCCTCCCCAGTCAAATCTGGCTTGCCGGATGGAAAAAAACGACAAGACATGTTTATCAAGTTTATCAACCCAGGCCACTGAACCACTGACATCTAGGTACAGTTATGTTCAGTGGAGCAACAGCTGCTTTCTTGTCCATAACTCTCAAAAAATCTAGTTACACTTACATGTGAGATTATTCTTAAAATTTGGATTTTATCTCTTCAGTTCCATCTTTTGCCTTTGCCTTTCCCTGAGATGAAAAATGCCACCACCTGGAACCTTCTTTTGGAGTTAATTAAGGCTAAGGAATTTCAATCATTGCAGTGTTAAAATCATTTTTTTTTCTGAAAAAATAATTAGTTTGTGAATATATATATATATATATATATGTTTTTTGTGTAGAAAGAGAGCATAACATAGATAATTAATTTATTACAGCGGTTCTTGGAAAAAAAAAGAAAAAACATTTCTAATAAGAAAGCAAAAGTTCATATGGACATTTATTAAGAACAACAAAATGATAATCTGACTTTTTGTTCTTCCTTTGCTAAATATAATCCACAACAACATTAGCCTTCCTAAAGATGTGAGTGAACTGCTGATTGGGGATTTGTTTGATCAACATCCTGCTGTCGGACATAAAAGCACTCAATGAGTGAAATTCACAGTTAACGTCATCTATCAACAGTTTTTGCAATTTTCGAATCAGACTCAAGAATGAGTTTAATAATTATTAAATAAATCCTTTGTTAATGGTAAAGTGAAGACCATCACAAATTGCCCAAAGTTCTACAGCAAGACTTGTATGTGCAGTGGTAGTATAACCAATATGCCGAGTGAACCCAACAATGCAACTGCGAAGCTCATTCCAAAAACTAGCCCTGCACCAGCATGTGCAGGATTGCCTTTGTGACAACCAACCAGAATTGGGTGTAAACAAATAGTGTTAGAGACAACTTGTGAAAAAGTTTAGAAAGTGAAATTGAGAAGAATAACGAAATTCAGTGCCTAACTTTAGAGATTATTCCATTATTTTTTCCTCCCACTTGTTGGTTCCCTTTTGGCCTAATTATCTCATATATATTTTTTATTTTTTTATAGTAAAAGTGTCCCCAAAATAAATTAGGTATACTTCAATACTAATGCTTTTTAGTTTGATTAAAAATAGATTATTTGTATTAAAATTAAAATATTTATAAAAAAATTACTTTACTTTTTATTTTCTTCAAAAATGGAATGTTGGCCAAATGATCAAATAAGGTAAGATACAACCCTTACCAATTCCATCACATCTTTGGGTTCTCAAAATTTATTTTCCTTAATTTATTTTTTTTTATTTTTTTGGATGCCGACAGGGTCGGTGCAAGTTGGTTCAATAATATGATGACCGTTTTCACCAAAAAATATATATATATATATATATACAAGTGGGGAATTTTATAACACGACAGTAACACGCGCAGAATACGAATTCACATGACGATTCTCCGCGTCAATTTAGCGAGTAAACTCGGAATCTCAGACACTTGACAAACTCACTCATGGGTACCAGAAAGTAACAGAGACGGTCCATGTTGATCTCTCTGGTAATATCATTATCAGAAGAGCATCGATGGATGCGAAGACGCGACGCCAAAGTTGACCGTCATGGAACCTAGTTGCCACTTCCATTCCTTTCCTTCCATTGTACCATTGAGGACCATCCAATTAAGTGGATGGCTCTCAATGTTCCTCATCTCAGATGTGCGTATATGCTCTTAGTGGAAGGGTGAAATCCACTTATAAGCACGTGAATTGTTGTAGGTTAGATGGAAGCTTCAAATTTCAGTGTTAATATTTAAAAAAATTAAAATATTTAAATGTATTAAACCATATAAAGAGTTTTAAAAACAAATTTGAATTAAAGTAATCTCAAACTATTATGTTGTACTTTGATTATCAATTCAAAAAGACCACATGAACCTCACTCCCAATCTATAAAGACTACTTGAGGGTCCTCGGCCAAGGTTACTTTAATTTCCAACCTATGAGTTTTCCTTGGCTTTCTTTAACTCTATAATAAACTTGTTAACTTAATCATTCCAGTGTTTAATTCGAGATCAAACGCTTCAATTTCAAAAGTGCACTACGTTGAGATACGTACATGAAAACTAATTTATAGACACCTAATGATAAAAAAAAACACACACACACACAACTCATAATTCTTAATTATGAATTTCATAATTAAGGCCCAAATTAGATTTATTATGTGTTGAATTTCTACCATTTCTATTTTCTGCATCATTACCAAACACCAAGTGACCTCAAAATCAAAGATATATATATATATATATATCTAATGTCCATCGATAAGATTTTGAGCGTAACGAAAGAGATACAAACATTTAGATTTACTTGGATCCGTAATTCATATAATTAAATTGATACAAAGTATTGATTATTCACTCAAAAGAGGGCAAAAAAAAAAAAAAAAGACAGAGCACTTTAAGGTTTTAGGAAATGATTACAATTGAGATTTAAAGGGAAGTGCTAAGTTAGGAAAATGTCCTTTTTGAGGACATATGTTAAACCCACTTATTTATGACATTAACAAGTAATATTTCAGAGATAAGAAAGGAACAAGTTGGGTGTACATTTTTCCCGAATTATATCCTTTTCAGATAAAGGAGAATAACATATTGTAGAACAGCCCATAAATATTGATCAATTCTCCTCAACTTATTTTCGTTAATTAATATATAGTTCAAATAATGTATTGTCTGTCTCACATTATTTTTGGTTTGTGGGAAAATTTTTTCACCCAATTAATTTAAATTATGAGTTGAGCTGTATGTAATACACATCTTCAAATTAAAAAATATGTGAAAAATTACTTTACAA